GAGGACACCTTGTCGGTGTCGTGCACGATGTTTTCCTGCATGGTGAATATGGAGGGACCGACCAGTGCTTATTCAATGTTGTGGACATGTATGAAAAGAAACATGATTATTATATTATTAGCAGTAGCATAAAATCTATAATCCAGCAGGCAAAGACATTAATTTCAAGCAGTTCATGGTTGCACTGCATTGTAGGTGCAATGTATGCCACACATGCTTACATTAATTGTATGATGTGAGGCGGCTGCAGATGACAACATGGCCATTCTTGTGAAGAAACATCAAGCCTAATTAACTTACAAGTCTGCCAAAGACCACACCGCCAGCTAAGAGCACAGGACTGTCCTTGCCCTCGACAATGAAGACGAACTTGTCATCTTCATTGTTTAGAGGCCCTAAGCTCTTCTGCAAGTATTCCAGGTGCGACTGTGAAGACTGGTACTTCTCAAACTCCTCTTCGTCAGCTCCAAAGGAGTTGAATCTCAAAGCATCTGCTGGCAAGGCATGCACATATGTAATGGTTAGTAAGGTCTTCAGCTGCATGTTTGATGTATGCAGGCATGTATGTTTCATGGTATGCATATTTGAGGTTTCAATACTAGGGTTTTGAAAATCCAATAACCCCAAACTATAACTACGTCTCTCCTCTTATCTCTGCATTTACAAATTAGGGCTAGAATGGATTTGCAGCATACACAGTAGCAGGACATTGAATCCCCCCAACCCAAAACAATTTCAAAATATAATTTCCAAAGTACTCTTAGTACTCGCCCTCCACATTGGCCTGCTGCTGTAGATTTCCAATCCACTTCTTGCGGTTGTTCCATCTCTCAACCAGGGACTTCCGGACACGTGCGTGTATGTCCTCGTCGGTTGCTTCAGAGTCCAAGTGGAAGCCAGCCACGGTTCTGTCTCGCCCACCCAGCGTAACCATGAAGTCCTCAATCTCCTTTTCGGTCTGTAATCAAGCATGAGCACCCATGAGTATTGAGTGACAGTCTTTCAAATATGAATAATTCAACCCTGCCCCTAACTTACCACTTCCAAGTAGATCTTGGATGCTGAATTGAAGTCCTTCAGGACTGGATCGAAGAACTTGTACAACTTCTCCAGGATGTACCTCTTGGCACGCTGCACACCC